AACAACATCCAAATGATAAATGCTGTACTGTATTTTTAAGAACTATTAGCTTTAATAACAGGAGTACTGTACCTAAATTCTAAGGGGGCTTTTTTCTTGTGCAACTAAAGGATTAATCTATGCCATCCAGTGCCCATGCCAGCTATTGTATGCAGGCATGACATCTAAAGATATTAGAACACGGCACTGAGGAATATGGCAGCTATATCTGAAGGAATAAGATTCAGTCCCCACTAATAAATCTTTATTTAGAGAAGGGGCACACTGTACAGAATATACAATTCTCTGCACTGAAAAGGTTAAATGGGAAAGTAGCAGCTAAAAAAACCCAAACTCTTGAGCAGTTAAGTGTATTGGATAGTCACCTTAAGAAATTGCCTCCTTTGGACTCAGTGAGGTTGAGAGGTGCAATGTATTGTGATGATTTTTTCATCACAATTTTGTGATGAAAAAACAAGTTTCAATTTTGTGTTTATTGAGGTACAGCTAGCATAACTCTTTTAGTGCTCCATTTCTGTGTGTTGCAATAATATGTACTCATCCTACTATAATCAGCAACTGAACCATCCTGTCCTTATGGTTGGGGAATGATGCTCTGAAATGTATAAGCTGCTGTATAAAGGTCATACAAGTACAAGGATCAAGATTTTTTTCTTAATTGATAATCAGACACAATTGTGTGTAGGAATTCATGTTTTACTGAGTACATTGCTATTTTAGTTTGAGGAAGATTAAGAAGTTAATGAAATGTGTCTAGTTTGCCTGGAGTGCCTGGATGTTGTGTCTACAGTAGTTTTGGTATAATCTAGTGGAAAAAGGAGGCTTCATAAACTAGGGAGGGAGCTGCATCTGGCCCCAGTGGTTGGCTGTCCTTCCCTGTTGCAAATTATGGGGATGGATCTAGGAGTAGATGAGCAAAAGACAGACAGTGAGCTGCTGGGTCAAAGTTCTGCCAATAAGGCACATATTTTTAGGATCAGGGTGTAATGAGATGTTCTATCATATTCCTGTACATTGCTAGTAATAACTGTTTTCACTAAACTCTGCATTTCTGTGTATACTTATTTCCATCTCTCCAAAGTTCTCAACCAGTTTTGAGATGTGTTCTCAGAAATAAAAAATCCCAGCTTTGCATTCCCTCTCATGTCAAGATTATTGGTATTATTTTCTATCCACATAAATCCTACAGTCTGTTCCTTGCATCTCTGCAGAGTTCATGCCCCTGCTTTTCATCCAGAAACTCTCCTACAGTTTTTAAAGATTTTAGCAGCAGCAGTCCCATAAGTGAATTCAGCAACTCTTTCTAGGGTTGAACTGGAATGCTAAGAACATTCTGGTTGGACCTGGGAATATTTGTCTGTAGTGACTAGAACAATTGTCTTCAAACTTTATATATGAAGAACCTTCCTCTATGTGAAAAATCAGTGTAGAACCCATTAATAAATAGGTTTCATGTAATACCTTGTCACAGACTTCTCTCTTTTAAATGAAACAGAGGAATGAAGATCTTATAATTTCACTGTAATCATAAGGGTAAGCTGTCATGTTGAACCCCTGAAGGGTCCTCACAGAACCCTGGAGTTCTGGGGAACACTGTTGGAATACTAGAGTATTGGACTGGGACCAGGGCTGTCATGTCTTGGCTGCAGTATCTAGAGGATCATAAGATGGTCACAAAGTGATACAGAAAACTCTATTTCTCCACTTTGGGTAAGAAAGGTGGTCTCATATTTCAACAACAAAGAGTCATGTTCAATGGCAGAGATACATTTTGCATGCAAAGGTTTTATTCTCTGATATGTTCAGTTGATTAAAAAGATCCAGGTAGCAGGATGGAGACTTGGAGAAAGGTTATGGGTTGTTGGTCTGACTTGGTATTAGGCCCTTTCATGCATCCAGTGAGTTACTGTGCTCTAAACACAAAGTGTGATGGTATGTGAGAAAGACCTCGGGGGACAGGGCCCAGAGATGCTGTCAAGGTCAAATAAGAGACAGCATAGCCTGCAACTGGATAGTGGGCAGGCCAAGAGGGTCAGAAGACACCCTCCCTAAATTTCTTGGGCTGTAAAGGAAATGGGGGGAGGATTGTACTTTCAGACTTGCAAGATTCTGTCAATGTAGCTTTACAATAAAGTAGAATTAGCTCATCTGCTTGTGATTCCTATCTGGTTTAGGTGGCAAGTTTCAGATGTATAGATTTCAAAATCCAGAACTCTTGTCAATGGCAATGCTGGCCAAGGAATTCTGGGAGCTGAAGGAACTTGCCAAGGGTAGAAAACACTGGTTTAAGGCAGAGGTAGTGAATTTTTCAGACTTGCCACAGCAAGGTGAGAACCTGTTACTGGAGAGAATTGAAGGCAGCGGTGGTCAGGTCCACTCCCTATTTGTCCTTCTTCCTCCCCATGCTAGGGAAGGCACAGATGGTTCTGAAAAAGGACTGAATTGATTGCTTGTGGAATCTTTTTGAAAAACTAAAGATTCCTGAGCTATGCTAGCTATGCATTTGAACCAGGAATTTTAGCAGCCCAGCCATTATTTTGCATTACAGCGTAAGGCAAGAAAGAAAAGTAGAGGCATAAGGAAAGGTTTAATTTCAACAAGCATCTTTTCAGATTCAGGATTAGGATTAGAGTTAGGGTAGCAAATTCAACTCTGGAAAGTATAAGAAATCTCTGCTTAATGGGGAAATAGAATGGCTTCTGAACTGCATCCTGTCAACCAATTTTTTTTTAAAAATGTGTCAGTCTACGGGAGGAGAGAGCTACTTTGGTGCAGAGATTAAAGGCATCAGGCTAGAAACCAGGAGACTCTGAGTTCTAGTCCTGCTGGATGACATGAAACCAGCTGGATGACCTTGGACCAATCACTCTCCCTCAGCCCACGGAGACAAGGGCAAGCTGTTTCCAAAAAATCTTGCCAAGAAAACTGCAGGACAGGCTTTTGTAGGAGTTAACACTGACTCAATAGCACCAAAAGAAAAACAAAACATTCCCCCTGCCAAAAAAACTGTGGGAGGGGGAACTCAATCTTTTCAATTAATTAATTTTTAAGAATTGACCATTCAAAACTGCAGTGGCAATTTAGATGCTTTTAAAGGAAAACAAGGATGGATATCATGCATGGTACCAGAAAATAGCACCCAAGGTCTCACAGACAAGCTTCTATCCTAAGTTTAAACCAGTTATTCTTCCAGAGGGAATCATGAAAGTGCTATGAGAAGCTAATTAACTAATTAAAGGCTTCTATGTGACTCTGGGCTTGGCTCCTTCCAGGCAGACTTCTCTGAGGCAGGTAATTCTACTATGTCTGCCTTGGGAATGACTGATGGATATAAGTCAGAGCTACCTGCTGTTAGAGGAGGTCACCTCTCACACCTTGGCAAAAATCAATATCCTAGGCAGAATCCTTTCTTCCAGTCAGCAGTAATGCTTAAAGCATTAACTCACACTGACACAGCTGGTGGTAGGCAATCCAGCTGCCATAGAGTGCAAAAAATTAAAGAATGGGGGGGGGGCTGTTTCAGTGGTACACATATCTCTAATTTTAACTCAGAAAAATGGTATGTTCCACTAACTAAAATATTTAGAAGTCTTATGTGGATATGTTCATACAACACATGGAGCCATTTTAACCAAATATGTTTTACAAATTCAGGCTGCATAGTAGATTATGGTTCAGTGTATCGAGTGAACCCAGAAAATTGGTTAAAACTGTGATCTGATAGCCCTTTTGCATACTGTGATAAAATGCACACTCATCATGTAATGGTATGTGAGAAAGACTTTGAAAGATGGGGCGAAGAGATGCTGCCTAGGGAATGGTCAGATAAGAGAGGGCACAGTCCACAGCTGCATAATGGGTGGAGAAAGAGGCTCAGAAGGGACATGGTATGGAATTTGTACTTTCAGACTTGCAAGATTCTGTTAATGTAGCCTTACAATACAGTAGAATTAGCTCATCTAGTTGTGTTTCCTGTCTGGTCTATCTGGGAAGGCTGACACATCATCATTGCTAGTCAAATAGTTTTTCAGATTTCTGAAGGACTACAAAAGCCTGTAAAACCTGTTTGAGAAGACATGACAGTGGGAGGAACAAAAGAAGAAAAAAAATACTCTAAATGCAATGATGATTGACAAACTTACTTTCAAGCAGCATAAACTGCAGATTTTCTCTAACCTTAATTTCATTGTTTTGTGTTTGACATTTTCTGAAGGATGTTAACTCATTGCCATTGCAGTGGGGAAAATGAGAACCAAATAGAAAGGTCAAAAGTTGATCCACCCAGGAAGTTGCCCTGCATAAGGCCTCTTTAAAATGAATGGGAAAGTTCTTGAAATTGAAATGGTGATAATTCAGACATTCCAAAAGTCCTGTACAATTGGTATCAAAGAGAAACTTCTCCCAAGGTGTCAACTTCACCCCAGTTATGAGTCCACCCTCTCTCAACAGGGATATATCCCATCCAGCACTCTGTGCCTGAGAGGTAAATGAACGGAAGGCCAATCCTGGAAGGAGCAGACTGGATTCATGGGTGGTGGTGGTGGTTGTTGATGATGATGATGACGATGATAATAATATACTTTACCTTTCTGCTTACATAAGCACAGAAGCACTCAATAAGTCTTGCTCAATAAAGCAAAATACAGATGTTCACTTGAGGAAACCCTGTGAGTTGAACAGTGGTGAAGGTAGTAGTAGTAGTAGCCATCTCCCTGTTAATTATGTAGCTGTAACATCAACTCTCATCAAGCCTTTAAGCAGCCAATTATAGCAGGATTGAAGTGTAGGTGGTAAGCAACCAGAGGCAGCAATTTAAAAGAAACTGTGTGGGGAAGAGCCTGAGGTCTACTGTGGATTGGCAGTGATGCCATCAGAGTGGGTACAGCCATGATTTCCCTGACTGAGTTAGGATTGGGGGCATTTCATATTGGTTGGTTTAGAGTGAAATCCTAAATAAAGGCTTATATGCTGTTTTTTCCCCCTGCTGATTAACCACTGAAAGCAACACTGTCATCAACACTGAGTCACATGATTTCTAGGAATCACATGTTGCACCCTCCTCATTTTCTAGGGCAAAAGTGCCCTCAGAGTTGCAATGCTTGTTTGCATTAAACTCCTAAATCAGTCTTCTTCAACCTCCAAACCTTCAGATTGACTGGGAATTGTGACAACGGCAGATCCACACATCTGAAAAGTCCTAAGCTAGGGAAGGGTGAGTGCCAGGCCTATAAAGTTCTTCGTTTAGGTTGCTTGGGCCATTTAATTAAATACTTGCCTATTCGATGCCTATTGCATTTTTTCTTCCCCTTCTTCAAGATCTCGGGAAGGCACATAGTTATTTATACAACTATGGCTATATCCTTACCACAAATGAACAAGGAGATTGTCTACAACACTGTTTCTTAAAGTGTGGTCCGAGGACCCCCTGGGGGTCCCCCAAAACCCTCTCCGGTCTGCAAAACCAAGATTTTTGCCAGATATTGAAAATATTAGTAAAAATTTAAAACAATGTTACTCTTTTCATTATTATTTTTATTTCAAAAATAGGTTTTTGTCATGAAAAATATTTTATTTATGTTAATCTCTAATGGGTTCAATATTGTTATTTTTACATGATTCAGTAAATAAATATTCTACAAATGTGTCCATTTTAATTTTTAATATGGTAAATATCAATAAATATAACCTATACAAACAAAAACCGTTTTGGGTTCCTCCATAATTTTGAAAAGTGGGAAGGGATTCTGAGAGCAAAAAGTTTAAGAAGCACCAGTCTGCGATTTGGCACAACTTTTATAATTTAGAAGAGAGCTTTATGCCAATCATAGATCTCATATTGTATCTGGCTGCAATACTTACATTACTAGTAGATGGCAGGAAAGCCATCTAGCAATTGCCTGGATTTTTTGCAGCCCAAATGTGGTATATCTTTTCCACTGAATTTCCTACCTCGCACCACAGAGGTACAGAATTCCTTATAGTACAGTATATAATTTTGTATGCCCTTAATGGTTGCCTATATAACTCTCTTAAGTCAAATGGTATTCATAACTGAAGATCCCTGCAATCATCTCTGAGTGGAAATGTATATTTCACACAAGCCTTTCTAAATTTGCTGGCACTACTCCTCTTCTACAACAGCCACTGGCAATGAGTTCCATTGGTTAATTGTGTATTGCCCTACCCTTGTGTGAAAAAAGAAACCAGGTAAACAGACTCAGTTCCATCAAGGTTTGAAAGATGAGCCTTCCCTTTGTCATTTTTTTTTTTTTTTTACTGCATTGGCAAACTCAGCAAATCTCCAGGGGCTGATTAGGAAGGCACTCCCCTCTGCCTTTTAGCTGGAGGAAATGTGAGGGAGGCATCAGGATTCAGCAGGAATACAAAAGATGAGTTGTTCTGCACGCTTGAAACCTGCCTCGTGAAGCCAGGATGGAACCCCCAGCACAGATTATGGGATGGGGGGGTGGGGGGTGAACAAAGGCATTTCCCAGACTGCTGGAAAAAAAGGGGGAAAAAAATCTCCCCAAGATCTTTCATTTTTCAGGCAGGCTTGTTGAATTGAAGGGAAGGATGAAATGAGACACTGGATCTACAGTTCCAAAATGCAGCATAACAGGAGGCATAAAGAATCTTGAAATGCAAGTCAACAGCAACATTGTCAAATACAGACTCTGCTCAGGCAGATGGGACTACGCTACACGCAAGGAAAAGGTTGCCAGCAAAGTTCCAGGTCAGGTACCTGTCAGCTACAACTGCACAACAAGCTTAAGAACAGGTTTAGCATGTGATGCAAACCCCAGAACTCAACCAAGAGTGGGGCAGGAGAGAGCTAGCTTGAACCCAAGCAGCCCTGGCATTGTTCTGGGTTGTATGGCCCTGCTCTGCTTAAGCATACCATGAAACCAGCCAAATCCAGCTGACCACAGGGTAGTTTCCAAACCCTGCCCAGCCCCTCTCCTGAGGAAATAAGTTGGAGATACAGAGCAGCCAAAAAAGAAAAAGGAAAACAAAAAAAAAGGAGCAAGCCTCTTCATTATTATTGCTATTTGTGAGATTTATATCCCACTCTTCCTCCAGAACAGTGTTTCTCAACCTTACAACTTTAAGATGAGTGGACGTCAGCTCCTAGAATTCCTCAGCCAGCCATACTGGCTGGGGAGTTCTGGGAGTTGAAGTCCACTCATCTTAAAGTTGCCAAGGTTGAGAAACACTACTCCAGAAGCTCAAGGTGGTATATTTTGCACTCCCTCCTCTACCATTTCCCCCCACTGTAACAATCCTCTGAAGTAGGCTGGGGTGAAGAGAGTCACCCCCTGAGCTCTTGTGGTTGAGAAAAGACTTGAATCGAGGTCTATAAAATTTGTTGTCTGTCACCTATGTTGAAGGGAAAGCAGAGGACTGCAGTGACTTGAAAGAGAGGCAATACAGACAGATGGGGGTTTTCTGCCAACTCAAGGATGGCTGGAGGGCATTTCAACTCCCCAGAAAGGAAAGGCCCTACATCCAAATGCGTCAGCTTCTCCTTTCCTGCCAATGATTGACCTCAGTAGCTGCACACAGGCATTTTTCAGTAGCCGCCAGACCAGTGTTGTCAACCTTGGCAACTTTAAGATGTGTGGACTTCAACTCCCAGAATTCCCCAACCAGCATGG